TTATATGAAAACAATGAATCATGGATCACTACATCAAAAACAAATGATGTATTGTACTGTGACTAACATAACCTAATAAAATAAAATTAAATTAAAAAAAGATTTTAAAAGAGGGGCAAAAAAGTTTTACCTCTCCCTAATCAGTAATGATGTTGAGAAATTGTTCATGTGTGTTTGTGTGTGGGGGTGGGGGGTGGGGCAGAGAGAGAGGGAGAGAGAATCTTAAGCAGTTTCCATGCCCAGTGTGGAGGCTGATGTGGGGCTTGATCTGAGATCATAACCTGAGCTGAAATCAAGAGTGCCCCTAAAGATTTTATTTTTAAATTATCTCTACACCCAATGTGAAGCTCAAACTCACAACCCCAAGATCAAGAGTCACATGCTCTACTGACTGAGCCAGCCAGGCACCCCTGTATATCTTCTTTTATGAAGTATTGATGAACTCTTTTGCCCATTTTTATTGGGTTGCTTATCTTTGTTCTCAAGTTGCAGAAGTTCTTCTATCCTGGATATGAGATCTTTGTCAAATATATATATACACACACAATATATATGTATATATACACATTTATTTATATATATATGCACATGTCATTTATATATATATGCACACAATATATACATTCTCTCTCCATACATGTATGTATATATACACACACATATGTAGTAAATGTTCTTTTCCTCAGCCTGTGACTTTTTTTAAAAATTGAGGTATAATTGACATACAAGATTATATTAGTTTCAGGTGTATGGCATAATGATTTGATATTTGTATATACTGCAAAATGCTTACCACAGTAAGTCTAGTTAATATCTATCACCACAGAGTTACAGGTTTTTTTTCTTGTTAAGATAACTTTTTTTTTTTTTTAAGATTTTATTTATTCATTTGAGAGAGAAAAAGCAGGGGGAGAGCAGAGGGAGAGGGACAAACAGACTCCCTGCTGAGTGTGGAGCCTGACACGGGGCTCAATCCCAGGACCCAGAGATCATGACCTGAGCTGGTCAGACCCTTAACCAACTGGCCACCTAGGGACCCCTTGTTAAGAGAACTTTTAAGATTTACTCTCTTAGCAACTTTCAAACACACTGTACAGTATTGTTGTCTAATGCTCACCACGCTGGAAAATATGGAACAATTCATGTATTTGTGTGTCATGTTGGTAAGGGGGCCATGCTAATCTTTTCTGTACTGTTCCATTTTAGTATATGTGCTGCCAAAGTGAGCAGCCCAGCTGACTTTTAAAAATGCTGTCTTTTGATGAACAGACGGTTTTAATTTGGATGAAGTCCATTCTATCAAACTTTTATACTCAGTGTTTTCTCTGTCCTAAGAAATCTTTGTCAACTCCAAGGTCACAAAATAATTCTCATGGGTTTTCTTCTACAAGCTTTACAGTTTTAGCTTTAGTTTTTGTTTAGGTCTGTGATCCATCCTGTGTGGTGTGTGTTGTCTATAATTTTAGATAAGGGTCAAGATTCCTTTTTTTTTCCCCATTGAAGATGCATTTCCTTTCTGCACTGAATTATTTTGTACATTAAAAAAATCAATTCCTTGTGTAGACGTGTGTCTATTTCTGGCTTCTTTATTATCCTGTTTCATTGATCTATTTGTCTCTTCTTAAACTAAAACCACATTGCCTTGATTACTGTAACTTTATAGTCTTTAAATCTTGAAATCAAATAATGTAAGCCTATTTTGTCTAAGTGTGTACCTCTGCTCCCTTTTGGTTCCATTTGTATGGAATATCTTTTTCCATTCCTTTGCTTTTAGCTTATGTGTATCCTTAAAGTAGAAGTGAGTCTCTGTTAAGCAGCATATACTTGGGTCGGTTGTTGTTGTTTTGGTCCATTTAGTCAATGTCTTTTGATTGGAGAATTTAATTCATTTACATTTAAAGTACTTACTGATAGGTAAGGATTTACTAATGTCATCTTATTAATTGTTTTCTGGTTCTTTTGTAGTTCTTTTGTTCCTTTCTTCTCTTGCTGTCTTTCTTTGATGTTTTGGATGTTTTTCCATAGGGTTATGCTTTTTTTTTAAAATTTTTTTAGGGACGCTTGGGTGGCTCAGTCAGTTAAGCATCTGCCTTTGGCTCAGGTCATGGTCCCAGGGTCCTGGGATCAAGTCCTGCATCGGGCTCCTTGCTCAGCAAGAGCCTGCTTCTTCCTCTGCCTGCTCTGCCTGCCACTCTCCCTGCTTGTGCTCTCTCTCTGACAAATAAATTAATAAAATCTTTTTTTAAAAAAAGATTTTTTAAAAGTAATCTCTATACCTGATGTGGGGCTCAAATTTACAACCCCGAGATTAAGAGTCCCACATTCTACCGACTGAGCCAGCCAAATGCCCCTACAGTGGTAGTCTTTGATTTCCTTTTTTTTTTCTTTTGTGTATTTACTGTAGGTTTGTGCCTTGTGGTTATCATGAGGCTTACATAAAACATCTTATAGTCTTTTTTAAGTTGATAACTTCAATTGCATACACAACCTACCCTTTTCTCTTCCCCCAATTTTGTTTTTGATGTCATAATTTACATCTTTTTATATTGTGTATCCATTGACAAGTTATTGTAGCTATAGTGATTTTTTTAAAAAGATTTATCTATTTATTTTATTTTATTTATTTATTTTTAAAGATTTTATTTATTTATTTGACAGAGAGAGACAGCGAGAGAGGAAACACAAGCAGGGGGAGTGGAAGAGGGAGAAGCAGGCTTCCTGCCGAGCAGGGAGCCCAATGCGGGGCTCAATCCCAGGACCCTGAGATCATGACCTGGGCTGAAGGCAGATGCTTAACTGACTGAGCCACCCAGGCGCCCCAAGATTTATCTATTTATTTTAGAAAGAGAGAGAGGACGCGCACGAGTGGGGAGAGGGGCAGAGGGAGAGAATCTTCAAGCAGACTCTGTGCTGAGCACAGAGCCCAAGGTGGGGCTTGATCTCACAACCCATGAGATCATGACCTAAGCAGAAACCAAGAGTCTGACACTCAACTGACTGAGCCAGCCACCCAGGTGCCCCACTATAGTGATTTTTAATACTTTTGTCCTTTAATCTTTGTACTAGAGTTAAGTGATTAACACACCACCAGATTACAATATTAGAGTATCCAGATTACAATATTAGAGTATTCTGAATTTGATTATATACTTACCTTTACCAGTGTGCTTTATATTTTCATATGTTTTCTGTTATTAATTAGCCTCCTTTCATTTCAGCTTGAAGAACTCCTTTTGGCATTTCTTGTAAGGCAGGTCTAGTGGTAAGAGAGATGAACTGTCAGCTTTTGTCTGGGAAAGTCTTTTTCTCCTCTTCATTTCTAAAGGACAGCTTTATTCTTGGTTGGCTGTTTTTTTATTTCGGCACTTTGAATATATCATCCCTCTGAATATATCACTTTCTCATGGCCTGTTCTGCTGAGAAATTTACTGACAGCCTTATGGGGATTCCCTTGTATGTGAGAAAATTTTGCTCTTATTGCTTTTAAAAGTCTTTATCTTTTTTTTTTAAAGATTTTATTTATTTGAGAGAGAGAGACAGAAATAGTGACAGAGAGCATGAGTGGGGAGGAGAGGGAGAAGCAGGCTCCCCACTGAGCAAGGAGCTCAATATGGGGCTCGATCCCAGGACGCTGGGATCAAGACCTGAGCCAAAGGCAGATGCCAACCGACTGAGCCACCCAGGTGCCCCTAAAAGTCTTTATCTTTGATTTTATTTGATTTGATTTTTTATTTTTATTATTTTTTAAAGATTTTATTTATTTATTTGAGACAGAAAGAATGAGAGAGAGAGAGCGCACATGAGAGGGGGGAGGGCCAGAGGGAGAAGCAGACCCCCTGCCGAGCAGGGAGCCAGATGCGGGATTCGATCCAGGGACTCCAGGATCATGACCTGAGCCGAAGGCAGTCGCTCTAACCAACTGAGCCACCCAGGCATCCCTATCTTTGATTTTAGACAGTTTTACTATAATATGTCTTTGATAAAATTTCTTTGGATTGAATCTGGGGACTTATGAGTGTCATGAACTAGATGTCCAAATTTTTTCCCATGTTTGTATATTCTCAGCTATTCTTTCTTCCTTTTTTTTTTTTAGTATTGAAGTATAGTTGGCATACAATTTACATCAGTTTCAGGTATTCAGCTAATATTTCATTAAATAAGCTTTCTGCCCCTTTTTCTCTCTGTCAGCCCTGCTAAGGATTCTGAGGATTTCTTGGAGCTTTTCTATATATACACCAGCTCCATACTTCTTGTTCCTTCTTGAGGGGATCCTTAAGATTGTATGTCTTCTCTCAATCTTGCAAAGCCAGGCTGGATTCTGATAGCCAACCATTTGCTTCCCCTGAGGGCAATGCTGAACGCTCAAATTTGTGTTCTTTCTCAGTTCCACAGAGTCAGCTGGCTTTCTATGCATACTCACTAGCCATCTGCAAAGGCTCCTACTTGCCACCCTCAGGGGCCTACACAGGGAGTCAGCCATAGATAAGGGAGTATGTGGGTGATTAGCACAGAGTACTAGGGATGTCCATATGCCAGTTGGGAAATCTGCAGGTGAGGCATCCTCAGTGGCTGGCTTCCTGATGGAGTCTGGTTAGAAGGACTCATGTTCCTTTGATACATTTTGAGCCCTACCTGCTATTCTCTTAGCCCCTCCCCACTCCTCAGTCATGAGGCTTACCTCAGTGTTCTGGAAGGTGTGACAAATGCACTCTCAGTGACACCTGGAGCTGTGACTCTAATTGGCTACTCACATTAACCAGGTGGGTTTTCAGAAGACAGGAGCAGGCAGAGGTAGGGAGGGTCCCACCTAGTGTCTAGGGTCTTGGGTCAAGTGTCTTTTGCATGGTTCAGAAATAAGAACAGAGCTAAGAACTTCTGTAGTGGCCACTCCTCAGCCATATGATGTGGCCTTGAGTCTCTCAGGGGCAGAAGACAGGAGAGCACTTGAGCCCATTGTAGTCTGAGATGGGGGCCCCAGCTGGTCCTGGGAGCCTCATGGAGTTCCTTGGGCATTGTATAGATGGGTCAGCAATTCAACTCTTCTAATATTATCATTGGTAGCAATTTGGTGGATATAACTTTCTCCCCCTTTATGTGCATTTACAATATATATGTATAATTATGTATCTTGATGGTTTTATTTACATGAATGGGATCATAAAGATCTTTAACTTTTTCACTTATAAATATATCTTGGATACCCTGCTTCATCAGTAAATTTACTTACAAGTAAGTTCTATGCCCAACATGGGGCTTGAACTCATGACCCTGAGATCAAGAGTCTCATGCTCTACGGACAGAGCCAGCCAGGTGTCCCTAAATTAATTATTTTTTAACAGTTATAATTTGTTAGTATTCTCTGAGTATTAATAGACTGCTAACCATTAAATGAATCCTCAATTTTACCAAGTGGTGATATTACCAATGACTGGTTATCTTTATACACCTTTACATCAATGGGCCAGTATTTCTGGTGTTTTTTTATTTGTATTGGTTTTTGTATTCAGGGCTTTGACCATTTCCAGCAGAAAAGAATGGCCAACACTTGTCTTTTCCTTGGAGGGAGCTCAACTATTGGGAGCCATCCTTGTGCCTGAGTCATAACTGCCCTTATGACATCATAGGTCTCCTTATCCACTCTATCTACGCATCCATGGCTAAAGGAACACAGACATGAGGGGATTTGAACCATCTACACCCAATCCATGTGGGACCAATGGTGAGTAAGCAAGAGACAGACAAACCAGGCTTTTTAGGGATGTCCCCATAGATATCTTAGGATGAGGGAATCCCCTGGCATATGAATACTCTGGGAAGCCCCAGAAGCTGGGAATCTGTGGGATACTGAACAGACAGGGAGGGAGGGCAACTTCACTCTTGCCTTTTCCCTAACTGCTGATTTCAGGAGAAGGAACAGCCTGAACAAATTAATGAACAAACTGAAGATGAGCCTCAGCAGAAAGAGGAACCGACTGGTTTATCCCCAGAATTACTGACTTCAGAGAAGAAGGTGGAGGTAGGAGGAACCCTGACTTGGATGCCTCTGGTCCTTGTGTCCTAGTGCTTGTGGCTAGTGTTTTTTGCATGATCCAGAGCTGAGAACACGAATAAACTCATTCTTGTTTGTTCTCTTTCCCCATTTTTTTTTTCAGGCTGAAGATGTAGATACAGTCAAGACAAATAAAGTGGATGGTGCTAATAATGGAGATAGACAAGTATGAGCCCCTCCCCAAGGCCACACAGGGCTGGAGCTGGGAATATAGGGGCTGTTTGTGGAACAGAATGGCCAACATATGGGAAGCTGGGCTTAATCAATAGTGTGGTGTGTATTTGAGCTTGTGCATGTATGTTTGCTTGTTAATTAAGACTTAAAATGTGAAAGTCAAGAGAAATAAGGATGGGGAAGAGATAAGAGGTAGAACTTTATGGGGTGGGGGAAACTTAATACTATAACATGACAGAGGAAGAGAACAGGTTGTGGTTTGGAGCTGGAGTCAAGGATGAAAGGACAGGATTAGCAAAGGATGCTACTTCTCTAGCAAGGGGGTGGGGTCTGAAGGGAAGGATCATAGGTCCTGATCAGTTGGGCACATTCAGGTGGAATATGTAACTCTTTGACGCATAAATCTTGCCCTAGGCTGGCCAACTTGATCCATATAAAACTGGGTAGACAGGGCAGATGTACTCCCATTTTATAGATGGGGACTTTGAGATTCAGAGGTCAACATGTGTCCATACCCATTAACCAGAGAGTGGCAGAGACAGGACACCTACCTGGTCTTCTGGTTCCAGCCAGTGCCAGTCCAGGGCTCCTGAGCTCCAGAAGAAGGGCTGATTGTTGATAGGGAATCAGGGTTCCTTTCTGGCGTGCCCCAAGACTCAAGCAGGTGGGGAACATTCTCTGAATGTCCCCTTTTTTCTTGCAAGATTCCAGGAAACCAAGATAAGCCCTCTACCAGTAATCCAGAAGTCATAAAGATCCAGGCCTGGTGGCGGGGCACCCTCGTGCGCCGGACACTGCTGCACGCAGTAATCAGAGCACTGGTCATTCAGCGCTGGTGGAAGAACATCCTGACAAAGCTGATGGAGAAGAGGCGGCGTGCAGCACTGGAGACCTTTACACGGAATGAGTGGGCAGCAGTCAAGCTGCAGTCCTGGGTCCGCATGTGGCGCATCCGTAGGCGCTATTGCCGTCTGCTCAATGCTGCCCGCATTATCCAGGCCTACTGGAGGTGCCACTCCTGTGCTTCCCGGGGTTTCATCAAGGGCCATTACAGAGTCACGGCCAACCAGCTGCATCTCGAGCTAGAGATCTTGCTGGGCTCAGGGCCTTGCATTGTGTCAGAGTGTATTCCCCTCCCAATAAAGCAGTGAAGTGGTCTTCCCCCAGCCTCTCTGTTTGACAAGTTCCAGGAGGTCAGGGTAAATGATGGCAGATATTGGCATCTCATATGCTAGCTCTGAGGAATGGGCAGGGGTTGTCCGAGGATTTTGGGAAGAATTCTGAGGCTTTGTCCAGACTGAGCAGAGACTGTGATTAATTTGCAAGGTCTGCCATAAGTTGAAAAGTTGGTGGAACAGAGGTGCCATGTTGGCCAACTCAGGGAGCATCCTTCATGTAAATTGGTGCCCCTCCCCAAGGTTGCATATAATGGAGTCCTGGAAGGTGGTGGTTGGTGATGGCAATGGCAGCACATTTGTCAGGAATTCACCCACCTAGGTCTAGTTGCTCAGGGCTTGTTCTCTTACCACCATGATTGAAAGGAACACACCCACCCCAAGCTCTGTGATCCTGGCTCCCATTGGTTCATAAACTGGCCCCTATACACAGAGGACAAGCAGAGATGGAAGGAGGAAGCAGGCCATTCCAGATTGGCAAGTGGCAAGCTTAATAAGCAAGTGAACTTGCCTATGAGGCTTATCTTGGTTGGTTGCTAGGTGAGTAGGTCTCACCTGCCAAAATCCTTTTTTTTTAAAGATTTATTATTTTATTTTAGAGAGAGAGTGTGGGGGAGGGGCAGAGGGAGAGAATCTTCAAGCAGACTCCTTGCTGAGCACAGAGCCCAACTTGGGGCTCGATCCCACAACCCATGAAATCATGATCTGAGCTGAAACCAAGAGTCAGATGTTCAACAGATGGAGCCACCCAGGAGCCCACTGCCTGCCAGAATCTTAAAAATTTATATAGAGGCCTTAACAAGTTTCAGTCTCATATACTGTCCAGATGTTCTCAAAACCACATTGCTTTCTCAAGGTTGTGTCCTTGAAAATGGCTCTCACTGTGGGATGGTGGGTGGCATGCACATTCCAAGGACAAGGGAGGAGGCGAGGAACCTTCAGTTGCCTGGGTCCAACTTGTGGGTTAATGGGCAGTCATGTCCTCTCAATGGCCGCCTTCAACAGCTCCCTGCCCAACTGGTGCCTGTATCCTCATACATAGCCTCCATGTCAGAATCTGAGACCCAAACTGGACACTGTTAGAGTGTATAGCCCCAGTCCTCATTCCTACTTCAACCTCTGTCCTTCACCCTTCAGCCCCAAATGGAGGCTAGGATTCATTCCCCTTCAGATCTGGTGGGGTGCAGGAGGTTCCACAAGAGTGGAGATGGGAAAGAAGGCACTCCATTGCTAGCCAAAGCCTCTAGTGAGTGTCAGGTCACAGATCCAGAGTTGAGAAGGATAGGCCATGTCTCCCTCACCCTGACTCCAGGCCCAGGCTAAGCAGAGGCTGGTCCTGCTGGAGCTGGTGCCTCTGACAGTGACTTCCTACAAAAAGTTGCCACCTGGGGTGGAATTGGGGCCTAGTGGTGATAAAAAGCCCATTAAGAAATCAAGGTTAGGCTGTCCCTCTGCCCATCTGGGCACAGCTATCCTGTGGTTTCCCATAGACAGAGAGGGTCCTGGAGTCGGGGTTATTCTCCATCAAGACTGCAAGCTCAGAAGCCCTATGTCTGGTTCTGCTCCATCTACTCTGCCCTGACAAACTAGTCCTTCAGCTCACAGAGGTTCTGAGATGTTGCCTGGAGGTCTCAGGTTCCAGCTCTCTGTCTTGCCCTGGAGCATGAGCTCTGCATTTCTTGCTCTGTTCCTCCATGTCCTACTCCCGTGTTTCACACAGGTCCTGGTCTCTCACTCTTTGAAGGATTTCTGTCTCCTTTTTCCTTGCCTACCTTTCTCTCTTGTGTTCAGTGTCTCAGAGTAAAGACCAAGGACTTTGGAGTCAAACTGGCCTAGGTCAGATCCCTTGTTCCATCACTCACTGCTGTGTGGCTATGGACATGTCATTTTACCTCTCTGAGCCCCAGTTTCCTCAGCTGTAAAGTGGGACTGATTATCATCTTTCAGTGCAAATGTCAAGTGTCATAAAAATTCAGCATCAGCGACAAAACAAGGAAAGGGGTCACACTCACCTTAAAAACTGGCAGCCAGGAAAAACAGCAAATTTGGGGATGCAGTGGAGTGGCCCAGGAGAGCACAGCAAAGTATGCTCATCATTATTGGGGCACTGCTGGTTCCAGGCCTCTCAGTGTTCAGAGATAGGGAATATATGTTTGTGCACACACACTGCACACATTGCTATCATCTGTATCATTTATCATCTATCTATATTGAAACGTATGGGTTCACATTGATATCTCTAATCCCAATCTAAAGTCAAAGAGTTCATTCTAGTTTTCTCCCTTCTATATTTCTACCTCTTGTTTCCAAAATTAAGATACCTGGCTCCCATTTTAATAAATTTTCTTTTATTTTTACTTTATTTTTTATTTAAATTCAATTTAGTTAACATATAGTGTATTATTAGTTTTAGGGGTGGAATTTAGTGATTCATCAGGTGCATATAACACCCAGTGCTCATTATATCAAGTGCCCTCCTTAATGCCCATCACCCAATTACCCCATCCCCCAGCCGCCTCCCCTCCAACAACCCTCAGTTTGTTTCCTAGAGTTTGGCATCTCTTATGGTTTGCCTCCCTCTCTGTTTTCACTTCATTTTATTTTTCCTTCCCCTCTCTTATGTTCATCTGTTTTGTTTCTTAAATCACACATATGAGTGAAATCATATGGATTTGTCTTTCTCTGACTTATTTCACTTAGCATAATACCTTCTAGTTCCATCCACGACATTGCAAATGGCAAGATTTCATTCTTTTTGATGGCTGAGTAATATTCCATTGTATATATATATATACCACATCTTCTTTATCCATTCATCTGTCAATGGACATCTGGGCTCTTTCCATAGTTTGGCTATTGTGGACATTGCTACTATAAACACTGGGGTGCATGTGCCCCTTCAAATCACTAGGTTTATATCCTTTGGGTAAATACCTACTAGTGCAATTGCTGGGTCATAAGGTAGTTCTATTTTCAATGTTTTGAGGAACCTCCATACTGTTTTCCAGAGTGGCTGCACCAGTTTGCATTCCCACCAACAGTGTAAGAGGGTTCCCCTCTCTCCGCATCCTCGCCAACCTCTGTTGTTTCCTGATTTGTTAATTTTAGCCATTCTGACCTGTGTGAAGTGGTATCTCACTGTGGTTTTGATTTGTATTTCCCTGTTGCCAAGGGATGTTGAGCATTTTTTCATGTGTCTGTTGGCCATTTGTATGTCTTCATTGGAGAAATGTCTGCTCATGTCTTCTGCCCATCTCTTGACTAGATTTTTTGCTTTGGGGTGTTGAGTTTGTAAGTTCTTTATAGATTTTGGATACTAGCCCTTTATCTGATATGTCATTTGCGAATATCTTCTCCCATTCCATAGGTTGCCTTTTAGGTTTTTTTTTTTTTCTTAAGATTTTATTTATTTATTTGAGAGAGAGAGAGCACAAGCAGTAGGGGGGGAGGTGGAGAAGGGCAGAGGGAGAGGGAGAAGCAGACTCCCCATTGAGCAAGGAGTCCATCCCAAGATCACCACCTGAGCTGAAGGCAGACACTTAACCGACTGAGCCACCCAGGCGCCCCTGCCTTTTAGTTTTGTTGATTGTTTCCTTGGCTGTGCAACAGCTTTTTATCCTGATGAAGTCCCAATAGTTCATTTTTGCTTTTGCTTCCCTTGCCTCTGGAACATGTCTAGCAAGAAGTTGCTGTGGCCGAGGTCAAAGAGGTTGCTGTCTGTGTTCTCCTCTAGGGTTTTGATGGACTCCTGTCTCACATTTAGGTCTTTCATCCATTTTGAGTCTATTTTTGTGTGTGGTTTAGGAAATGGTCCAGTTTCATTCTTCTGCATAGGGCTATCCAACTTCCCCAATACCATTTGTTGAAGAGACTGTCTTTTTTCCGTTTGACATTCTTTCCTGCTTTGTCGAAGATTAGTTGACTATAGAGCTGAGGGTCCATTTCTGGGTTCTCTGTTCTGTTCCATTGATCTATGTGTCTGTTTTTATGCCAGTACCATACGTAATAAACTTTTTTTCAAAGATTCCATCTATTTATTTGACAGAGAGAACACACAAGCACAGGAAGCAGCAGGCAGAGAGAGAGGGAGAAGCAGGCTCCCCGCCGAGCAAGGAGCCCGATGCGGGGCTCTATCCCAGGACCCTGGGATCACGACCTGAGTCGAAGGTGGACACCCAACCAACTGAGCCACCCAAGTGCCCCCTTAGTAAATTTTCTTATCTGATTTCCCCCCTAGGTAACCAATCTTCCATGGCTGCTACTGGCTATGCAGACATTGTCCTCACCCTGCTTGAGCTCTGACACCCTGCTAGGCCATTACCCTCTTCATGTATCCCACATTAGTTGCTGTCCTGTGTGAATGCTCTTCTCACCCAGCATGGGCTGACATGAAATGTCAGGATACCCTCTGCACAGATATCCTCATTGCTGTGCTCAAGTTTTGGCTTCCTACACCACTAAAGATGCCTCACCCTGCCCATGGTATGGTGCCCACTACTGCCATGACCTTAAACCCCCGTGTCCAAACCCCCCTCTACCTTGCCTGAGTTCCAAACTGGGAAGCCCTCTGATGTCAACACCTTCTTCACCCTCTTGGGATGCATACCCTGTCTTGTGTCACAGTATCTCTTGCCGTGGTATACCTACGTTGCACTGCCCAGCCTAATGAATTTCAGACTAAATTGTTCAGGAAGGGAAGAGAAGAAAATGAGGGAAAAGATGAGAAGAAACTAAAATTTCCATTTAAAAATAGAGATAAACTATCGGCAGAAGAAAATTGTCACTTACTAAAATCTGCCTCAACATTTTTACCTCAAACCTCAAGGAAACATGATCGTAAAGAAAACTGAAAAAAAAAAAAAGTCCAATGAGAAAATGGATCAAAATTTTTGAACACAGGCTCAGATATTCTTCTCTTGGTATAAATTCATAGGAATAATAGAAAAAGAATATATTTATTTAAAATATTTCTAATAGTACCTAAAAATTTAGGAAAGGAACTTCAATGGACAGAAACTATGTGGACTACTTAAAGGACACAAGGTAGATGTGAAAACACTGAAAGAAAATATATCAAAGCTCTAAAAAAAGATCTCCTACAAAAGAAGAGAGTGGCCATGCAGTCCCTCCAAACTTGGCAGCAGCTGGTTCAGGAGGAAGCAGGGGCTGTTGGCTACCATGGCGGCTAGTTGGGGGGTTATAACCATAGGAGGAGTAGCCAACTCTAGCTGAGCCTGTGGTTGGCAAGAGAGGGCCTATCTCCAGGGAGGAGCTGTGATTGGTCTGGGGAGGTGTGGCAGGACCTGATGCCATGTGACACCCTTGCACACCAAGACTCCTGCCCAGGAGATGATTGACTGTGAAAGCTTACTCCATACCTCCCTGTATGTCCCATGGACATGGTAATCATCAACAGGCGAAGAGGAAATCACAAAACAAAGATGAGCATCTGAGCAAGAATCATCAAACTTTGGAGGAAACCAACTGCACGAAAAAGCATCCCTACACTCAACAATAAGAAACACAATGGCCAAGGGAAAGACTAAGAAGGCAACTTAAAGAAGTGAAATTAATATTCTCAGTGGATGGGAGGAGACATCTTAGCCGTAAAAGAATAAACCATTATTAAAAGGAGCTATTTCTGGATCTTAGAAAGGAACAGTATTAAAATTCTAACTTGAGAGATGGGATGAATAGCAGAATGGACATAACCAAAGTTAATGAGTGGAAACTTTGACAAAAGAACTCCTTTTGAAGGGCAGCAGAAAAGGGAAAGATGCAGAGAAATGAAAAGGTTAAAGAAAAGTAAATTTAAAAATGGAGCACCCATCCAGAAGTTCTAGACATGGTTAAATTAGTGTTCCCGAGAAAGGAAGCACAGAGATGAAGAGTAGGAATCTTTGGGGCACCTGGGTGGCTCAGTTGGTTAAATGTCTGCCTTTAGCTCAGGTCATGATTACAAGGTCTTAGGATAGAGCCCCGCATGGTCTCCCTGCTCAGTGGGGAGTCTACTTCTCCCTCTTTCTCTGCCCTTCTCCCAGTTTGTGCTCTCTTACTTTCAAATAAATAAAATCTTAAAAAAAAAAAAAAAGAAGGATGTTTGGGTGGCTCAGTCAGTTAAGCGTCTGCCTTCTGCTCAGGTCATGATCCTGGAGTCCTGGGATTGAGCCCCGCATCAGGCTGGAAGCCTGCTTCTCCCTCTGCCTGCGACTCCCTCTGCTTGTGCTCACTCTCTCTCTCATTCACTCTCTCTGACAAATAAATAAATAAAATCTTAAAAAAAAAAAGAGTAGGAACCTTCAAGGCATTAATCAGTTTCCCAGAACTCATTAAAGAGACTCAATTGCCCTAAAATAGGTGAAGGAAAACAGACGGAGCTCCAAACAGGTCACAGCACAATCTCATAACTGATGAAGATAATATATGTAAACATTTGACGAGGAAAAAAAGTCCACAAACTACCCACTAAGGAATAAGTTTCAGATTGACATCAGCCTTCTCAGCAGAAACCTGGGTATGAAGAGAAAGTAGAGTGACATCTCAATGCTCTGAAAGAAAAGAAATGTAATAATCATTGAATAATATACCACCCACAACAGCATTCAAGTATAAGGCAAAATGAAAGACATTTTTATTAATTCAAAGTTTACATCAGGGACACCTGGGTGGCTCAGTCAGTTAAGCGTCTGACTCTTGATCTCAGGTCTTGATCTCAGGGTCATGAGTTAAAAAAATGTCTACATTGAAAGTCTCTGAAAGTACTTCTGGGAAATGAATTCCATGACAAAGAAAAATGAATCCAGGAGAATGACGTAAGAGGTAGTGATGAGTACAGATGTCAGTAAAATTTATTGTGAGTGTGTGTGGTTTTTTTTTTAAGATTTTATTATTTGTCAGAGAAAGAGAGCACAATTGTGGGGAAGTGGCAGGCAGAGGGAGAAGCAGGCTCCCTGCTGAGCAGGGAGCCCGACGAGGGACTCAATCCCAGGACCCTGGGATCATAACCTGAGCTGAAGGCAGATGCTTAACTGACTGAGCCATCCAGGCACCCCAATAAAATTTATTGTTACAAACAAGATTTCTCCATAAAAAATATGTGTACTATCTCAGATGATACCAACATGAGAGGATGCTGGAGGCACTGGGTGAAGTAAAGAAAATTGGGCTGAAGTTCTTGCCTGCTTTGGGGTAGAAGCGATAGATACTGATTTGCTCAGAATAGTCCACAATGTACTAATATTTTTAAAAGATTTTATTTTTATATATTTGAGAGTGAGAGCGAGAGATAGCACAGAGAGAAAGGGAGAGGGAGAAGCAGACTCCCTGCTGAGCAGAGAGCCTGACACGGGGCTCGATCCCAGGACCCCGAAATCATGACCTAAGCTGAAAGCAGACCCTTAACCGACTGAGCCACCCAGGTGCCCCCAATGTAAAATTTAAAGTGTAAGTGTTAAAATGAATCTAAGTGTAAGTACTAGAAGAAAAGGAATAAGGTGTATAACTTCCATATAAATTAGAAATTATGTTCAGCAAAAAACAAATCTAAAATATGACGAGATCAACAAACTAGAGGTATGTTTTTGCATCACATAAATCTGAGTGTGGACAGTCCAGGCCTGGTGTGGCAGTTCATGGAACTAAGCTACTATGTTCTCATTTGCTCTTCCTCACTATCTTAGGGATGTGAGCCTTGTTCTCATGCTCTCAAAATGGTTACCAGAGTGCTATCATATTTACTTTTCAGGGAAGAAGAGGGTGAAGGTAAAATGACAAAAAGGACCCATTTGCATTCTTACAGAGCTTTCCCAAAAGAACCACCCAGAGACATCTCATTGGCCACTGAGTATCACATGACCACTCCAGCTGCAAGGGAGCCTGAGAAATGTCATTTACTTAAGTGAAATGTTAATGACCCAATGAAATCACAGTTCTGTACGGTGTGGATATGGGTAAGCAACTCACAATTTCTGCTACAATTTCTAAAATAGTAGAAGGGAAAAAACTCACCAACCTCAAAATTCACTGAAAACTCAATCTGACAAAAATAGGAAATGAAAAACAGACCACGAGAAAAAAATGATACATTTAAAGCACAAAATAAGATGGCAGTAAGTCCATACATATTAGGAATCAATAAATGTGAATTAGTGATATCCACCTATAAAAAATGCTCTCCTGGGGTACCTGGGTGACGCAGTCAGTTAAGCGTCTGACTCTTGGTTTTGGCTCAGGTCGTGATCTCAGGGTTGTAAGATCCAGCCCCAAGTTGGGTTCTGTGCTCAGTGGGGAGTCTGCTTGAGACTCTCTCTCTGTCTCTCTTTGCCCCTTCCCTCCCCCACCATCTCTAAAATAAATAAATACATCTTTTCAAATGTTCTCCTACTCCTAAAGCAATAGATCTTGCTTTTGGTAGACATGGAGATGAACTACACAGACTCCCCTTTAAGGAAGAACCTGCCACCTCAGCTCCTGGGAGTCAGATAGCAGCTCTCAGCCCCTTCAGGGACTGATTGCTCCAGCTGCAAAGAGCCTACCTTGCCCCAGAGTCAAGCCCTTCAGGTATCACCTACAATGACTGATCCGAGTGGATGTATAAAGACCTGGCCATTTGGACTCAATGTGGGGCAATTTTGCTGGGCCATTTCAGCAACAGAACTTCCCGTGGTGTCTGCTCTGGGGCTGCCAGCTGAATTGCTGGATTTTCTCCCTCTACCCAATCCTGCTTCCTTCCCTTTCTTCCCATAGGTTTTGATCCCAAGGGCATTCTATAAAAACATCCTGGACACTAAACTCTATCTCCTTTTCTGGAGAATCCAAACTGCAACAGTTGACGCCAGAGGTTGCCTGAGAAAGCAGATAATAAGATGGGGTTCCGAAGTGGGATCTTTCACTTCATCATTGCCTGGCTGGCAATGAGGATCCCAAATACTAGTGGTTAAGTGCAGCACAGATAGCCCCTGGCACAAGGTGGCGGTTTAAATGGTAACCCTTTCAAAGGTGAATGGGATCATTATAGGAGGCAGGAAATGCCCTAGCTGGTGTGACACAGCAGGCATTTGGAAAGAATGGAGGAATTGGGGCCGCTGTCTGGCTCAGTCGGCAGAGCATGTGACTCTTGATCTTGGGGTTGTGAGTTTGAGTCCCACGATGAGTGTAGAGATTACTTAAAAAAATCTTTTAAAAAAGTATTTAAAAAAAAGAAAAAAGAGAAAAGTATGGAGGAATTAACTATAAAGGATTGGATGGCTATTCCTAGGCTTTATGAAGCTCTGAAAAAAGATAACAAAGGCTGAGAACAAGTAACAGGCAATTAAAAGGTAAGTGTACAAGCCAGAGGGCTTTCTTGATGGCATATAAAGAACCCTCTCATCTGTAATAAAGGGCTGAAAAAGCTGAGGGCCAGGCCCAGGACTTAATCATTAGAGTGGCCACCCTCTTAAGAAGGTTAAATTCTCCATCAAGGTAGTGTGCTCTGCCAAAATCAGGGCAGGAGAAACCCTGACACAAGGTATGGGATCATTTGGGTTGATGGCCCCCCAAATCTTGAATTCTCAAATTCCCCTGAACCCTTGAGACTGAAGACATGTGACATTCCTCCTTAACCTCACAGATAGCAATGATGACAGAAAATGGGAAACTGAAGGAGCAAACTACATGGGCAGGTAGCCTCAACTCTTGGGTAACCCACCACCATCCCCTCTCAGCTCATACTCATGTGGGGGGGGGTATAAGGAACCCCTTGGGACCAGCTGACATAAGGAAAATGCCTGAGCCTGATTTATAGCTTGTTAAGCTTAATATATATATGTCATCCCAAAATAACAGCTGAGCTACAGCCTCATTCAAGGGTAGCCTTGAAAGACAGTGAGTGGTGAGGGAAAGTCCTCTCAATGGGCAGAGTTTCAGGCTGTACATCCACTTTGTGTGGTAAGAGAAGTAGCCTGAGATAGAATATATATGGACTTTTCAGCAGTGGTGAATGGCTTCCTGGCCAGTTTCCTGGCAACACAAAGACTGGAACATTGGAGACAAGGAAGTCTGGGCTGGAAGCAGATAGCTGGACATATGGGAGTGTGTACATAGTGAAAATCTTCGAATGGCACCAGGGAACACCCGTCACAGAAAAGAGACTAAACAGTGAAGGAGACAAAATGACTGGGCTGGTTGATGTCAGCCAGCTCCTGTCACTCACTCTAGTACTGGAACAATGGGATCTGGCCATGGAGGCAGAGACGGCGGCAATATATGGACCCAACAGCACAGCTCCAAGTTAGCAAGGCTTATGTAGCTGCGGCTACCGCTGTGTTCAACCCATGGAGCTGCTGTGTGCTTGGCAAGTCAGAATACTCCGCCTCTGTTTCTGATGAAAATTCACAGAACTGATGATAGTTAAGTCAACAACGGCACGTGAAGCTTACCGTTGACATTACTGCTTTGGTAACACGATAGATTAAATATTTTCCATAAAGTACTTATTGGGGAATAATATAATGAGTAACTAAAAGCTAGAAGCCCTTAAATTTTCAAAAACTTTGTAAATTTGTCCAACTCAACCTTTTCTTTTTAGCTTTCTTCCTCATATTTGTACCATGTCAGTTTTATCACATCCTAGCAGATTCCACTTCAAATGGTATTGAATGAGTGGCTTTTCAACTTCTTCAACAAATATTCTCAACTGTATTTGTTTCATGCAGACTATTCTTCAGGCCCTTTCAAACCTGGCACTAACCCCTTCAATGAACAACAGCTGAGCTGTATTGGTAACATCTGCCATCTCATCAAGAGCCAAGGTAAAACCACTTGATATCATTTGCTTTGTTTAAATTGACTGTTGGTTTTGTTCCTAGTGTCTTAAACTCTTGAGCAGCTATTCCCATTGAAAGGCTAGTAGTGTTGTTTATTTTTGTCCCTTTTTCTTTCAGCTGCTGCAATTAAACATGATCTAATTAGCTTACCACTAATAAACACCTTTTCTTGCTTGGCTAACAAATGAGCAATCTGCAAACGAATGTTGCTTGCAGCCTCGTTTTTGTTTTTTACTTTTGTAAAGAAATTCTGCTCTGATTAGATACTCCCTTTAAAATTTCTAAATTTTATGATCATTGCTTTCTTGTGAGTTAGGAGTACTGTGGATTGCTTAGTCTGGTGATGTAGATATATAATACTGTATTCCTTTAGCACAGCTGTAATGCTTTGCTATTGTCTTAAAAATGTGACATTTACAGTCTACTTTCCCCCTTTTCTTGTTTGACATGATGGATATGTATGTATTGGTGATAAAAAAAAGCAAATCACAGTGCAGCGATATGTGTGGCAGTAAAACACTACTTGGTTGTAACAGCACCTCTGCAGTTTGTTGTGTGTTGAGCAACAGTGGGAAGTGATGGGAAGGCCACATACTGTCCCTGTCACAACTACTCATATCTGTCATTACAGTGTAAACATGGCTATAGACAACATTTAAACAAATAAGCGTGGCTGTGTTCCAATATAATTTTATTTATGGACACTGAAATTTGAATTCATATGATTTTCATGTGTCATGAGCTTTTTTTTTTTTTTTTTTTTTTTTTTTAGTTTTTTCGACCACTGAAAATGTAAAAACCATTCTTTGCAGGATGTATAAAAACAGGCAGTGGGGGGCACCTGGGTGGCTCAGTCGGTTAAGTGTCTGCCTTCAGCTCAGGTCATGATCCTGGAGTCTTGGGATCGAGCCCCACGCTGGGCTCCCTGCTCAGTGGAGAGTCTGATTCTCCCTCTACCCCTCACCCTGCTCGTGCTCTCGCTCTCTCACTCTCTCTCAAATACATAAATAAAATCTTAAAACAAAACAAAACAAAACAGGCAGTGGGCTGGATTTAACCTACTGGCGTCCTTTGCTAACCCAAGCCCTGAATCAATGCCCATTATGTGGTGCTGGGTCCCTAATAGGTAGAATGTATATATCTCAGAATCAATGTCTCAGAATCAATGTGGCAGTGGTAATGCATCTGTGAGCACCCCTTCCAGTTATACATGTGGGAATTTGGGCTTTGTGTCCCTGCAGGCTCCATCTGACTGGAGGTTCTAGTTTCTAGGGGGGAAGGCAGTCATCAAGGGTCATAGTAAGAGTCTCATTAAACTTAAACTTATGGCTGAGACTCAGTCACTTCAGAATCCTTTGCCAAGAGACAACCAGGTAATGAAAGGAGTCACCATACTGGCAGGGATAAGTAAGCCTGGTCATCAGGAGAAGGCGAGGGGGCTGCTGCCACACTATGTAGGCAGGGAAGACTATGGATACTGCTTGGGTGATTCATTGGAAGATCTGTTGGTGCTTTGCTGCCCAGGTGTGATGGTAGATCACAATCATGGCCTGAGAAGTATGGTAACTAGAGAATCAGATACCTCAGGGATGAGGGGCTGGATAACTGCTCCCCGTCGTCAAACTTCCTAGAACAGCAGAAATGCTAGTCAAAGGTGAGGGGAATCTAGACAGCGTGGTAGAGGATAGGGGAAAGGAGTGTGTATCTTCTGTACATCCCTCTAGATCCCCACACTGTCTCCACATATGTACTCTACACATTGCAAATGCACTCCTCAGTGACCTCTGGGGCTATGACCCTGAGAAGGAAGCAGGTGCTCACAATGACCACATGGGTCTTCAGAGGCCAGGAGCAGGCAGAAGTGGGGCCCTTCTTGTGCAGTGGTTGTCCCTCACCCATCTCCTGGCTGTGACCTTGAGACTCTCAGGAGAAGAGGAAGGCGGGAGAGGACTTGCGGCCACTCGAGACTGAGATGAAGGCCCTGGCTGGTCCTGGGGGCTTTATGAATTTTCTGGTCTGTATGGGTCCTGCTCTCCCAGAGGCCTGATAACAATATGACCTAGAGTTAGGCCAGACAAAGGAGGTTTAGCCACAATGAAGGAGTTTATTCTGTTCTCCCAATTCTGCTGTCTTCATCAGAGATGATTATTGCTAATTTTTATGTATATCTTCCTATCTTCACCCCCTTTAAAAATAATGCTTTTACAATACATGTGTATAAATATATATTTATATTGAATTCATCTTGACTTGATGATTGCTAATCTGATACACCTTTCTATTTCAGTACATAGCACACTGATTCTGTTCTTTGGAATATCATTGTTTAAATGAACAGAAATCCATTTAATAAATACTAGCCAGGCTTTATTGAGTATCATTATACACTTTTGTGTCAGTGGGTTAGTATTTGTGGTGTTCTTCTTTGTAGCCAGAACTCTGGCCATTCTGGTAGGAAGGAAAGGGCAGGTCTTCTAGGTTTTTCTTAGAAAGGGGCTCAACTGCTGGAAGCCATCCTGGTGCCTGAGTCATAGGTGCCCTTATGACATCATATCTCTTCCCCTTCCTCCACTTCTGCTGCCAGTGTGTGGCTGGAGGAGTCCAGACCTGAGAGTGATGGGACCATCTTGCCCCTAACCATGGGTAATTTAGTAAAGTGCAGACCTGAGGGGGATTTGACCATCCAGCACAAGTCACAGGCATTTAATGTTTTATAAGAGATAGTCAGATCCACCCAAGCTTTCTGGAAGGGCAGTAAATTTCCCATAGATTCCTCTGGATGGGACTCCCCCACCCCCTTTTCATGTCCGAGGTCCCAGGAAATGCCAGGAACCTGTGTGGTTGACTTGACACCTAGTGATGAGGAGAGTACCCTTATGTCTCCAATGTTTTTTTCTCTAAACTCTGATTACTGGACAGCAAATTTTCCAAGTTATAGTCAAAGATGATGAAGTCACATTGGTAGAACAGAGCTTGAAGGAGCAAAGGGGAGAAGGGGAAGTAACTCTGCCCCTGATAATCCCACCCATACCACTCCTACTACCCTCCCCACTCCTCCATGGTTGATGGTTCCAGGCTCTACTATGTTGGGGAGAGCCTTGACTTGTGACATCTCTGACCCTTGGGGTCTAGTGGAATACCCCAAACCAAAAGTCTGTGACCATGTAATTTATTGTCTATAGAGAGATGCTTCAGTGAGTGAAAGGGGTACTTATCAACATTACTCCGGACAACAGGCATAAACCCAGGGTGCCAGGCAAACTGAGCTGAATAGTCACTATACACAGAGCTAGAATGAACACAGATCGACTCCTCCTCGGCTATCCTTTCCCCCCTTTTCCTCCTTAGGCTGAGATGTGGGTCTGGCCAAAATGTGTGGATTGTGCCAAGGAGGTGGGAAAAGAGAATGAACTCAGACTACACAAGTTTGGGAGCTACAAGGTGGGGACTGTGTTTGGGGAATGCAAAGATAGAGCTACAGAAAGATTGGGTCTAGAAGTGTGTGCGTGCATGTGTATCTTTGTACTGATGAATGTGTTAACTGGTGTTTAAGCTCTTAATAAAGTGTATGAGGCAGACGAATCTTTTAATACTTTGGTGAGGCAGAGGGGAGACAGTAGGTTGTTGGTGTAACCTGAAGTCAGAGGTGAGAGGGCAGGAGGAGAAAAGATGCCACTTCTCCAGCAGATGGGAGGAGTCTGAGGGAAGAGACATGGATCTTAGATAAATGGTCAGGTCCAGGTGAAACGAATCTCTTTCACCTCTAGATCATGGTGTTCTTGTTCTAGACTGGCCAACCAGGTCCATGCAAAACTGGGTGACATTGCAAGTGCAGATGGAGACCCTGAGATTCAGAGGGCAAGATGTTGTGTCCATGTCCGTTAATCAGAGAGTGGCTGATGCAGGACACCTACTTGGTCTCCTGGGTCCAGCTCTTGCCCAAAATGGCTCTGCTGAATGTCAGAGAAAGGGATGATTGTTGATAGAGATCAGGGCTTCTTCCTGGCAGATCTTAGGGCTGAAATGCATGAGTTTCTTAAGTGTCCCATTTTCTCTTGCAAGGCCCCCCAAAAAAGATCACCAGGAAAGAGGAAGCGGCCATGTTCATCCAGGCGTGGTGGCGGGGCACCCTGGTACGCCGTACACTGCTGCACGCAGCACTCAGAGCATGTATCATTCAGCGCTGGTGGAAGCAGATGCTGGTGAAGCTGCTGGAGAGGAAGAGGCACCTGGCCCTAGATTTCTACGTGCGGCAAGAATGGGCAGTGGTCAAGCTGCAATCCTGGGTCCGCATGTGGCGCGTACGCCTTCGTTACTGCCGTTTGCTCCACGCTGCCCGCATCATCCAAATCTATTGGCGTTGGCATAATTGCCGTACCCGTGGCTTTATTCAGGGCCACTACCTTTTCAAAGAAAGTCATCTGAATCTTCAACTTGAAATCTCTTTAGGCGCACAGGCTTGTAGAGTGCAACAGTGCATACCCCTTCCAATAAAGGAATGATCAGGTCTGCTATATCTGTGTCCCCAGCTCTCTCCGTCAGATTTCAAAGATGTCATTGAGCTAATGATGGCATCTCATAAATCAGTTCTGAGGAAGTGGCAGGGTTTGTCTGGGGTCTAGCGTGGAGAATTCTGAGAGCCTAGTGCAGGATGAATAGGACCTTTGAACAGATTGATTAGCAATGTCTGCCATGGGTAGGAGAGTTGGGGCTTCAGGGCCTCCAAGTTGACTAACTTCAGGGAGACTCCTTCACGGTGTGGTCCATGTAAATGGTGCCCTCTGTAGTTGTGCAACATGGAGGACTGTGTCATCTTTAAAAAATTGTGGTAAAATATACATAGCATAAAGTTAGTCATTTTAACAACGTTTAAGTAAACAGCTTAGTGGCATTAAGTATATTCATGTTGTGGTGCAAATATCATCACCATCCATCTCCAGAACTTTATTCATCGTGCAAAATTAAAACTCTGTACCCATTAAACAATTACTCTCCATTCTCCCTTTCCCCAGTCCCAGGCAACCACAACTCTTTCTGTCTCCATGAATTTGATCATTGTAAAAACGTAATTTGAGTGGAATGATATGGTGTTATTATTATTATTATTATTATTATTATTATTATTATTATTATTATTATTAGTGACGGGCTTTTTTCATTTAGCATGTCTCCAAGGTTCACCCATGTTGTAGCATGTGTTAGAATTTCCTTCTTTTCTATGGCTGAATAATATTCCACTGTATGTATATACCACATTTTGTTTATCCATTCATCCATGGATAGATACTTTGGTTGCTTCCACCTTTTGGCTATTGTGAATAATACTGCTGTGAAAAATGGGTGTACAAAGATCTCTTTGAGATTCTGCTTTTGATTCTTTTGGATATATACTCAAAAGTGGAATGGCTGGATCATACAGTAATTTTATTTTAAATTTTTGAGCAATTGCCAAGCTGTTTTCCATAGCATCTAGACCATTTTACATTCCCATCAGCAGTGCACAAGGGTTCTAATTTCCCCACATCCTTGCCAACACTTGTTACTCTCTCTCTTTTTTCTTTTCTTTTCTTTTTTTTTTTTTGATAGTAGCCATCCTATGGATGTGGGGTGGTAGCTCCCAGTAGTTTTAATTTGCATTTCCCTAATTAGTAATGTTGAATATCTTTTTATATGCTTATTGATCATTTGTATATTTTCTTTGAAGAAATATTTATTAAATCCTTCGCCCATTTTTGTATCAGTTTTTTTTTGCTTGTTGTTTTTGTTTATAGGTGTTCTTTATATATTCTGGATTTTAATACCTGAACAGATATATGATTTGCAAAGATTTGATCCTAATTTTTTTAAAGATTTTTTTGAGAGAGAGAGCACAGAGGGAGAGTGAGAGGGAGAATCAGACTCCCCACTGAGCAGGGAGCCTGACATGGGGCTCGATCCCAGGACCCTGGGATTATGACCTGAGCTGAAGGCAGATGCTTAACTGACTGAGCCACCCAGGCGCCCCGATCCTATTTTTTAATTACCTTTTCTTCTGTTTTTTTTGTTTTGTTTTGTTTTTTGATGCACAGAAGTTTTTAATTTTGGTATAGTCCAATTTATATCTTTCTTTTGTGGTCTGTGCTTTTGGTGTCATTAAACTAGAAATCATTCCAAATCCAACGTCATGGAGGTTTCCCTTTATGTTTTCTTCTAAGAGTTTTAAAGTTTTAGGTCTTTGATTCATTTTTAGTCAGTTTGTTAATATGGTGTAAGGTAAAGGACCATCTTCTAGACACTTTTGTATGTGGATATTCAAATGTCCCAGTACCACTAGCTGAGAGACTGTCCTTTCCCTATTGAATGATCTTGGCACTCTTGTTGAAGATCATCTGACTATATATATGAAGGTGTATTTCTGGGCTCTCTATTCTATTCCATTGACCTATATGTCAGTCCTTATGCTGGTACTGCATTGTTTAGATACTGTAGCTTTGTAATAAGTTTTGAAATCAGGAAGTGGGAGACCTCCAACTTTGTTCTTTTTCAATATTGTTTTGGCTCTTCAGGGTCCCTTGAGGTTCCATATGAATTTTAAGATGGATTTTTCTCTTTCCGCAAATAACATTTGGATTTTGATAGGGATTGCACTGAATCTGTATATTCCTTTGGGTAATATTGATATCTTAACAATATAGTGTCTAAACCATGTGCATAGGATGTCTTTCAGTTTGTGTTTTTACTTCTTTCAGTAATTCTTTGTAGTTTTCAAAGTATAAGTTTTTCACCTTGGTTAAGTTTATTCCTAGGTATTTTATTCTTTTTGATGTTATTGTAAGTGAAGTTGTTTTCTTTTTTTCCCAATTTTTAAAATTTAAATTCTAGTTAGTTAATATATAGAATATATAGTGTAATATTGGCTTCAGGAGTAGAATTAGTAATTCATCACTTACATGTAATACCCAGTCCTCATCATAATAAATGCCCTTGAAATTGTTTTCTTTCTTTCTTTCTTTCTTTCTTTCTTTCTTTCTTTCTTTCTTTCTTTCTTTCTTTCTTTCTTTCTTTCTTTCTTCCTTTCTTCCTTCCTTTCTTTCTTTCTTTCTTTCTTTCTTTCTTTCTTTCTTTCTTTCTTTCTTTCTTTCTTTCTTCTTTCTTCTTTCCTTCTTTTTTTAGATTTTTATTTATTTATTTGAGAGAGAGCACGAGCAGAGGAGAGGGGCAGAGAGAGGGAGAAACAGACTCCCCACTGAACAGGGAGCCTGATGCGGGGCTTGATCCCAGGACCCCAGGATCATGACCCGAGCTGAAGGCAGATGCTTAACTGACTGAGCCACCCATGCATCCCTCAAAATTATTTTCTTAGTTTTTTTTTTTTGTCTTTTTTTCTGTTAGTGTATAGAAGTGCAACTAATTTTCATGTGTTGACTTTGTATCCTGCTACTTTGCTGAATTCATTTATTAGTTCTAACAGGTTTGTTTTTTTTTTTTTGTATGTTTTTGGTATGGAATCTTAAGGGTTTTCTACATACAAAATCATCTTATCTGAAAACAGATAATTTTACTTCTTCCTTTCCAACTTGGATGCCTTTTATTTCCTTTTCTTGCCTAATTGCTCTGGCTAGGACTTTGAATACTATGCTGAATAGAAATGGTGAAAGTGAGTATCCTCATCTTGTTCCTGATCTTAGAGGAAAAGTTTTCAGTCTTTCCCATTGAGTATTGTATTACCTCTGGACTTTTCATATGTGGACTTTATGATGCTGAGGTGATTTATTTCTATTCTTCATTTGTTGAGTATTTTTTATCATGAAAAAGGGGTTGATTTTGTCAAATGCTTTTTCTGTATCAACTGGGATGCTCATGTGGTTTTCTCCTCCTTCATTCTGTTAATGTGGTATGTTACATTCTTTGGTTTTTGTATGTTGTGCAATCTTTGTATTCTAGGAATATTTCCCACTTGGTCATGATGTATAATCCTTTTTGTGTACTATAGAATTCTGTATATGCTAGTATTGTGTTGAGGATTTTTGCATCAATATTCATCAAGGATATTGGTCTGAAGTTTCATTTTCTTGTAGTTTCTTCATCTGGCTTCGGTATCAGGGCAATCCTGGACTTATAAAATGAGTTAGAAAATGTACCTTCGTTTTTCATTTTTTTGGAAGAGTTTGAGAAGGATTACTATTAATTCTTTAAGTGTTTGGTAGAATTTAGCAATGAAGCCATTGGACCCAGGGCTTTTCTTTGTCAAGAGGTTTTTGATTACTGAATCAATCTCCTCACTAGTTATGTATGTACTCAGATTTTCTATTTCCTTATGATTTAATCTTGGTAGGTTTTGTGTTTTTAAGAATTTGTCTATTTCATCTAGATTATACAATTCATTGACACACAATTATTCACAGCACTCTCTTATAATCCTTTATTTCTGTAGAGTTGGTAGTAATGTCTCCACTTTCATTTCTGATTTTAGTAAGTTGAGTATTTTTTTTTCTCAGTCCATCTAGCTAAAGGTTTGTCAATCTTTTGAGAGAATCTACTTTTGATTTCATTGATTTTCTCTAATGTTTTACTATTCTCTATTTTATCTCTGCTCTAATTTTATTACCCTACTGTTTGCTTTTGGTTTTCTTTGTTCTTTTTCTAGTTCCTTAAGTTATAAAATTAGGTCATTGATTTGAGATCATTCTTCTTTTTTAATGTGGGCAATTACAATTACAGATTTCCCTCTCAGTAGTGTTTGCACTGCATCCCATGTTTTGGTAGGTTGTATTTTCTAATTTACCTTGTAATTTCTTCCTTGACTCATTGGTTGTTTAAGGATGTATTAATTTTTGAATTTTACAGTTTTTCTTATATTATTGATTTCTAACTTCATCCTATTGTGGTCAGAGAAGATGCTTTGCATGATATCCTTTTAAATCTATTGAGACTGGGGTGCCTGGGTGGCTCAGTCATTAAGCGTCTGCCTTCAGCTCAGGTCATGATCCCGGGGGCCTGGGATCGAGTCCTGCATTGGGCTCCCTGCTCGGCGGGAAGCCTGCTTCTCCCTCTCCCACTCCCCCTGCCTTGTGTTCCTGCTCTCACTATCTCTCTCTCTGTCAAATAAATAAATAAAATCTTAAAAAAGAATAAATCTATTGAGACTAGATTTGTGGCCTAATATATGGTCTAATCTGGAGACTGTCCCATGTGCACTTCAGAAGAATCTGTATGCTATTTGTGTTTGGGCAGAGAGTTCTGCATATGTTTGTTAGATCTAGCTAGTTTATTGTGTTGTTCAAGTCTATTTCCTTACATATCTTCCATCTTGTTTGATCCATTATTGTTCTATCCATTGTTGAAATTAAATTCTCCAATTATTTTAAAGAACTGTTTCTTCCTTCAATCTGTCAATTTTCACTTCATGTATTTGACTGTTATTAGGTGTGTAAGTGTTTATTATTATTCTATCTTGCTGTAGTGAACCTTTTAACACATAATGTTCATTTACATTTCTTATAACCTTTTTGATTTAAAGTCT